CCCTACGCGTCGTAGGGGAAGCTGAGCAGGACCCCCTCGTAGGGCTGCAGCCGCAGCTGCCCCAGCTCCACCTGGGAGCCCTGGGCGCCGCTGCGGTGGGTGCTGAGGCGCAGGGTGGCCCTGGGGGGCAGCAGGGCCTGGGGGAGGCTGACCCGCTCCAGGGGGTCCCCGCGGGGGTTGAGCACCAGCAGGAACCGGTCGTTCTGGTCCCAGCGGCGCAGGACGGCCACGGCCTCGCCCGCCGGCAACACCTCGGCCCCGCCCAGCGACAGCGACCGCTCCCCCCCGCGCAGCCCAGCCAGGGCCCGGCACAGCTCCAGCACCTGCCACTGAGGGAGAGAACAGGGGGGGGTCAGAGAGGGGTGGGGAACCCCCAAACAGGGCCTCGGGGGGACAAATGAGGTGCTGACCCTCTAAGGATGAACCTCGTGGTATTGCCCTTTTAAGGATGACATTGCCCTTTTAAGGGTGGCATTGCCCTTTTAAGAATGAGATTGGGGAACTGTCTCTTTAAGAACCCACTTAGGACATTGCCCCTTTAAGAACAGCCCCAAAATTGCTGCTCTTTAAACATCCACCCCGGCATTGCCCCTTTAAAGACACACCTGAGCCCATTGCCCTTTTAAGGGTGGTATTGCCCTTTTAAGAGCGAGATTGAGGCACTATGTCTTTAAGGATCCACTTTAGACGTTGCCCCTTTAAGAACAGCCCACCCCTGGCATTGCCCCTTTAAAGACACACCTGAGCCCGTTGCCCTTTTAAGGACTCACCCCCAAGGAACAGGTAAGGAGGTGGTCCCACCCCCTAGGCTGTTGCCCCTTGAAGGACAGACAAAGCCCCCCCTCCCTCCGGGGGCGTGGCCAAGTGTGGACCCTCCCCCTTCTGACTCCCCTCTCTTAACAGAACATAGCATTACCCCTTGAAGAAAACCCAGCCCCTTTTAGGACAAACCCCACCCCAACACGGAGTAAGTCCCACCCCTTAAATTCAGACCACACCCACTCCTCAAAAGCTCCGCCCCCAGTGCCACACCCAATTCAGAACCATTGCCACTTTAAAGGAACCGCCCGCTCCCGAGGCCACGCCCCTTCCTTGAGACCCCGCCCCCTGCTGGAGGACCCTCCCTCATCCCAGAGGCCCCACCCACCTCAGAGTTGTCCCCACCCCCTCTCTGAAGCTCCACCCCCTCCCCGAAGCCCCGCCCACCTCAGAGCCGTTCTTGGTTTCCTGGAGTTTCTGGATTCGCTCCCACGGCATCGGCGGCGGCTGCGGGGGGATGGGAAAGGGGGGGGGGCCCCCCCCAAACCCCCCCGCCCCCCCCCCCCCGAAACCCCTTCTTTAAACTCCTGCAAACAAGCCCCACCCGCCCAAACCACCCCCCCCAAATCCCCAATATCTTCTCCCGACCCTCCCATAACCCCCCAAAACGACCATCAACCCCCCATAACTCCCCTAAATCTTCCTCTAAGACCCCCAAACCCTCAATATCCTCCCACAGCCCCCCAAAAATGAGCCCCAGCCCCCCCAAAACCCCCCCCAAATCCCACCTTGCTGCCGGGGGGCCGGGCCAGCCCCACCTCGTCTCCGTAGCTCAGCACGGGGGTCCCGGGGAGCCCCCAGACCAGCAGCAGCAGTTGGGGGGTCCTGTCATGGCTCCCCCTCCAGGCCTCCCAGGGGGTCCCCATCTGCAAAGGGAGGGGCTCCGTCACCTCTGAGACCCCCCTCCCCAAAATCCAAAGGGGGGGGACTCCAAAAAAACAAAGGATTTGGGGTGTGGGAGGTTTGGGAGGCAAGGAGGATGGGTCGGAGATTCTGGGGGCAGGGGGGGCTGGTCCCAAGTGATTTGGGGGTTTTGGGGGGCCTGGGGGTTGGGTCTGGGAGCCCTGGGAGGTTTTGGGGTCCCAGGAGGATTTGGGGTCACTCACGGTCCAGCCCAACACAGTTTTGGAGTTCAGGGAAGATTTTAGGGTTCAGTGAACCTTTAGAGGGTTTCAGAGAAGGATTTGGGGTCACTCAGAGTCCAGCCCAGCACAGTTTTGGGGTTCAGGGAAGGCTTAGGGGTCTCAGGGAAGGTTTTGGGGTCGCTCACAGTCCATCCCAGAACAGTTTTGGGGTTCAGGAAGGTTTGGGAATCTCAGTGAAGGTTTTGGGGTCCCAGGGGGATTTGGGGGTCCCAGAGCAGGTTTGGGGTCACTCACAGTCCATCCCAGCATGGTTTGGGGGTTCAGGGAAGGTTTTGGGGTCCCAAGGTAGGTTTGGGGGGGTCCCAGGGGGGTTTTGGGGTTCAGGGAAGGTTTGGGGTCACTCACAGTCCATCCCAGCACGG